CCATTTCTTCTCCCCTTTGTTCCTCTCCACCCTATACCCTCCCCACAACCATCATTCCCCAATGGTAGTTCACGTCCATGAGTCACACCTATAAGTTCTTTGGCTTCTCCATTTCCCATACTATTCTTAACCTCCCCCTGTCTATTTTGTACTTACCATTTATGCTTCTTATTCCCTGTACCTTTTCCCTCATTCTCCCTCCTCCCTTTTTCTGCTGATAACCCTCCACATGATCTCTATTTCTGTGAATCTGTTCTCGTTCTAGTTGTTTGCTTAGTTTTGTTTTTGTTTTTTTAGGTTCTGTTGTTGACAGTTGTCAGTCTGTTGTCATTTTACTATTTATATTTTTTATCTTTTTTTTTTTTAGATAAGTCCCTTTAACATTTCATATGATAAGGGCTTGGTGATGATGAACTCCTTTAACTTGACATTATCTGAGAAGCACTTTATCTGTTTTCTGCCCTTTCATTCTAAATGATAGCTTTACTGGATAGAGTAATCTTGGATGGAGGCCCTTGCCTTTCACCACTTTGAATACTTCTTTCCAGAACCTCTTGCCTCTAAGGTTTCTTTGGAGAAATCAGCTGACAGTCTAATGGGAATTCCTTTGTAGGTAACTGTCTCCCTTTCTCTAGTTGCTTTTAAGATTCTCTCCTTATCTTTAATTTGGGGTAATATAATGATAGTGTGCCTTGGTGTGTTCCTCCTTTGGTTCAACTTCTTTGGGACTCTCTGAGCTTCCTAGACTTCCTGGAATCTATTTTCTTTGTAAATTGGGGAATTCTCCTTCATTATGTTTTCAATAAATTTTCAATTTCTTGCTTTGCTCTTCTCCTAATGACACCCCTATTATTCGGATGTTGGAATGTTTAAAGTTTTCCTAGTGGTTCCTAAACTTCTAATCATTTTTTTTTGGTTTAATTCTTGTTGTTTCATTCTGTTGTGGTTGAATGTTTATTTCTTCCTTCTGCTCCAAACCATTGATCTGAGTTCCAGTTTCCTTCTTGTCATGGTTGGTTCCCTGTACATTTTCGTTTATTTCACTTTTCACAGCCTTCACTTTTCCCTCTATTTTGTGACCATACTCAACAATTTCTTTAAGCATCCTGATTACCAGTGTTTTGAATTCTGCATCTGATAGGTTGGTTATCTCTTCATTGCTTAGTTGTATTTTTTCTGGAGTTTTGATCTGTTCTTTCACTTTTGTCAGATATTTTTTAATCTTGGTTCACCTGTTACATAGTAAGTGGCGGATCTTTAGGTATTCACCAGGGCAGGGCAACCCATATCACTGCCTGGTAGCGCTATATGTAGGGGAGGGGTCCAAGAGGGTACAACACTGCTTGCTTGGCTCTCTGCCAGCTTTCAGTCACTTCCCCTACTACTCAGAAGCAAATTGGGCCTTTCTGGTGCTTATTCCCAGGTGGGTGGGTTTGTATATGTTCTAGGATCCTGTGGGTTTCTCTAAGAACCTCTCCTGTGAGGCTGGGAGTTTCTCCTGTTGCCTCACCCCTCACAGGATTATTCATTCAGTCAGAGGTTTTAAGGCTTTATTTCCCCTGCACTGGAACCCTGGCTTTCAGTCTGTCTCACTTCCCATTTGCTCCTCCTGGTCTATACTCATGCAAATGTGGGACCACTTGCTCCACCAACCACTACCTCATCTGTCCCAGTCCTCCAGCCACTGTCTTGCCATGCATCCTTTCCATCCAGGCTGCCCAGCTCTGCCCCTCCTACAGGTCTGAACAAATGTTTCTTCTTTAAATCCTTGGTTGTCAGACTTCCATACAGTTAGATTTTCTGGCAGTTCTGGTTATTTTTTTGTTTTTAAATTTGTTGTTGTGCTTTCTTTTGCTTGTGCGAGGAGGCAAAGTACATCTACCTATACTTCCATCTTGGCTAGAAGTCCCTGTTGTCATTTAAATGTTCATAGTTTTGATCTGCTTCTTTTTCTCAAGTTCAACATTTCATGTAATAATGGCTTGGTGATGAATTCCTTTAGCTTTACCTTGTCTGGGAAGCACTTTATCTGCCCTTGCATTCTAAATGGTAGCTTTGCTGGATAGAGTAATGTTGCTTGTAGGTCCCTGATTTTCATCACTTTGAATACATCATGCTGGTCCCTTCTTAACTGCAGAGTTTCTTTTGGGATATGAGATAATTGTCTTATGGGAACTCCTTTGTAGGTAACTCTGCTTTTCTCTTGCTGCTTTTAAGACTCTCTCCTTATCTTTAGCTTTTGGCATTTTAACTATGATTATGTCTTGGTGTGGTACTCTTTGGGTCCAACTTGTTTGGGACTCTCTGTGCTTCCTGGACTTGTATGTTTATTTTCTTGGCCACATTAGGGAAGTTTTCTTTCATTATTTTTTCACATAAGTTTTCAATTTCTTGCTCTTCTTCTCCTCCTCCTGGTATACCTATGATTTGGATGTTGGTACATTTAAATCTGTCCCATCTGTTTCTAATCCTCTCCTTGTTTTTTTTTTTTTTTTTTTGTTCTTTTTTGTTTTTTGAATTCTCGTTTCTTCTTTTTGCTCTGGCTGAATGTTATTTTCTTCTTTATGTTTCAAACCATTGATTCGAATCCTGGCTTCCTTCTCCTCACTATTGGTTCCCTGTGGATTTTTGTTATTTCACTTACTGTATCCTTCATCTCTTCCTTTATTTTGTGGCTGCACTCAGTGGGTTTTCTGAACATTCTGATCACCAGTGATTTGAACTTTGCATTTGATAGGTTGGCTGTCTCCATTTTGTTTAGTTCTTTTTCTGGGGTTTTGTTCTGTTCTTTCATTTGGGCCATTTCTTCGACTCCTCAATTTGGCAGCCTCCCTGTGTTTGTTTCTGTGTATTAGATAGAGCTGCTTTTACTCCCTGTCTTAGTGGTGAGGTCTACATAGAAAAAGCATCTGTAAATTGTGTGGAGCAGAGTCTTAAATAATTGCCAGGGTGCAACAACCCACTTCACTGCTTTGTGGCTCTCTGTGTGTTGGGGCAGGGATGGTGGTGAGGAGACAATGCCACTGCCTGGCTTCTGGAGGCCTGCCTGGCACTCAGCTTGCTTTCAGTCACCTCACCTACTTCCCGTATGTGATTAGTAACCTTCCAGCTGCGACTGTGGCATTTGCATGTGTTCTAAACCTGTGCAGGCCCTTTCAGTGGTACAAATCTGGCAGTTTCTTCTGCTGCCCCAACCCCCACTGGTTTGCACAGTCAGAGGTAATGGGGGTTTATCTTCCCAGTGATGGAAATCTGGGCTGTTGTCTGGCCTGGGGCTGGTACCACTGGCTCCCAAGGAATCCCTCTTGATTTTTATCTACTACGTATGAATATAGGACCATGTTTTGCTGCTGCCATTGTCTCTCCACTCCACACTGCCTCTCTGCCCCATCTCTACTACTCTGCACCCCTACTGGTCTGGATGAATGTGGCTTCTTTAAATCCTTTGTTGTCAGACTTCCATACAGCCCAATTTACTGATGGTGCAGGGTGTTACTTGTTTTTGAAATCTGGTTGTAATTCTTTCCATGGTTGTGCAAGAAGGCAAGGTATGTCTAACTATGCATCCATCTTGAGTGGAAGTCCCTTAATTACTAAAATTGTTAAATTATCTGACATGCTTTGTAACTGAGGCACAAGCAAGTTTCCTGTCTGGTACCTTTTCCCCTGTTTTTATTTTAATGATACAATTTAATTATCACAGGAAATAAAAGAGTAAAATCAGAAATATCTCTAGTTTACCATATAATGACTGAGTGTTCCCCATGGAAACTGACCTTTTCATGCAGATGCAGGTGCTGAAAGACTACGTGATGGGGATGCTCACATGTGTAAATGTATTAACAGTTATTAAGAACTGAATAGACATGGTTATTTTCCACCTTATTTTTGTGTTAAAGTAAGCTTGCATGTTTTGATTATGTGCTCTTATAATTATTTTCCGGATCCAGCATGTAGTAGTTAAACATACCTCCTCTTAAAAGAGTCCACAAACCACTAACATAGAATGTTCTGATTATATAATAAGGTTGAATTCTGTGTTTGAAACTCTCAGGCAACCATAAATTTACCCATGATTGGAATCTTCACTACCATGCTTTCTTCCCTGCTCTCGTCTAAAAATATGGTAATAAAAATATATGTCAGGGTTATATTTATGGGCTAGGCTTTTGTTTTGTTTTTTTTAACTACCATTCCTCTTATTTTTCACTGTCTCTCCTCTTTCTTTTTTTGGTTTATTTCTTGCCCAAAATAGTACTATTTCTAAAAGGAACCTATATTAAAACTATCTCTATGTTGTCCTCGTGCAAAATAATTTAGCCTGACATCCATCAAATTTGGCTAGGGCTTAAAACAAGAGAGCCTTAATTCCTGTGCATATATATCAACCTCTGATTACATCCTGAGCAACTCACAGTAGACTTGGAAATACCACTATAGCAGTTTACTGACATATCCTAATAGTAATGCTAAAATAATCAACATTTGTGGATACTAAAAATTGGATTTTAAATTTTGGGGGGAACAAATTAATTAATTCTTATTCATCTGTTAAGACTTTTACAATATTGTATTATAAATACAACCTTAAAAATAATGTTTATAAATTATGACTATATTCTATTGATATAAAAAATTTCACAGTCCTTAATGGAATCATTTTAATGAATGATTTAATGAAATCATTTTCATCTTGTAGGATGATCAAAATTATCTGCTACCCAATGATTAGTTTTGTTAAAATTTTTTAACTTATAAAAACTTAAATTTATTGGACATTCAAGATAACTGTAGACCTATAATTAGGTTTCCTATTCTTGTTAGACTAAACAAAATCATGTATTTATTGAAATGTGGTGTAGAAGAAATAGCCTATTATGCATGTTAAAATCAGTGGTATTCTCTAGTCCCCTTTATTTCATAGGTACACTTTGAGAAAGAGGGTGTTGTGTTGACTCTGAATGCATTTTTGCTGTGGGATAACCTTTAACAACAGTTACCTTGTTCCCTTGTAAGAACTCTGTTGAACCAAAGAGTAGGTCTTGCTTCCTTTATTCCAGTATTGTCATTCAGAATAGATGGCAAGCTGCAAGATGATTCATTACTGTGAAAAGCCAACCTATCCTCACACTCTTCCATAGGGGTTCTTTTCAATAATGATGGTGCCTATAGTGTGTTTAAAAGAAAGCACAAAGAAATAAAAACAAACTGTAGCTTCATTCCACTTCATCTCAAAGACCCAGCCTTCAAATACAATTTTAGGTTAAGCTTTACTTAGAATTTAATTTGTTTTCTGACAATGAACTGAATTTAAAATGTCTTCAAAATAAAATAACATCTGATTATTTTCCAGTGGAATTTAATGCTTTACAACAACTTACATTGGAAATAATACTTTTTTTGAAGACTGAATATTATGCAGAAGTGTTCTACTTGTGAAGTAGGTATAGGTAGGAGATATGACCATCTCTGTTAATCTGCACTGCTTTGGCCAAGATTTTCTCTTTCACTGCATGAATCCTTTTACTTGGATTGAGAAAGAGATCTGGAAAAACGTGACCTCGTTGTATCCCCATCCTTCTACAAATGACCCCTGAACTTCCTCCAAGTGGGAGGTTTGCACAAAAACTTGTTGGCTGAGGAGGAGACACTAATCAAAAAGAGAACTGTTCTAAATAACAATCTTCAATTAAGAATAAAGACGCTCTGCTACTAAGTCTGCTGGGGAGTTTGGGAAACTTTTCAAAGGGCACCGAACTGTCTTACCCATATCACCTCATGCGTCCTAGGCAGGGTGGTGGGCACAGATTTTATCACAGCCAACTTGAAAGGTAGAGAAAAAGTGGCGATTAACAGGATAGGTAAACATATATGTCTCCTAATTTCCAGGTCAGCATTCCTAAAAATATGCTGGTAAAATGAGTAAAACAATCAATGATGACATCAACCTGCTGCCAAAGTATGTTTCTTTCTCACTTCTACACAAAAATGATTTGCCCAGGTAACTGGGAGAGGAAATCTCAGGGTGGTGCTAGTTTTTCATTGACATCTGACAACAGTAGTACACACAAGGCAGTGTCCATTTCCCAATTTGTGGGAAATGGCAATGAGACTTTACACATTAATATGACGACTGTGTTGGACAAATCCTCACAGGCCATGTTAGTCCAAGAGCAAAGTAGTAACAATGTAATTATCTAATGAACAAGAAGGAAGATAATAGTCTTTTCTTGTAATTAATGTGAAAGAAGATGCCCTAACAGGGAGAATCACTGATTCTGTTCTGTTCAGGAGACAGAACTGTTCTGATAGGCAGAAAGAACATGGAAGGTCTGGCCTTGTAAATTTGGTTTTGAAAATACAAGACCACTATCATCAGCCTTGATACTCCTGAAAGGCTCCTGCCCCCTGCTCTCTCTTGGATGGGCTAGCTTTCTGGGCCCATGGCCTATTCTAGAGGCTGGAGCAGCTGATTTGGGGAGATTTAAGGAGTTCTAGGCTCCTTGGACAGAGGACTTAGTCTCTCAAGTTAGTCTTGGGAGTTTTTCCTCTATTTGTATAAAGTAGTCCCTGGATAATATTCCAGTTGTGATAACTCTGTTGGGATGATCTGCATAGTAACCCTGTTTCTTCAGGCTGGGGTTCTGTATTCAGTCCTCTCCTTTAAGCTCAGGCCAGGGCTGGCCCCCACAGGGCCCAATCTCAGCTGCCTATGTGTACCATTGCTCCAAACCTGCTTCCAGATTGTTCCAGAAGGGAGGAGTAGAGGAGTACCAGCTCTTTGACTGTCATCTCTCAATCATCCTGGTATGCCTCATCTCTAGATCTCTATTCATCCTGATCTAGGCTGTCCCCACAGAGTTAAGCTCCCACTCTGTGTGTCCAATAATCCTGGGTATATGAAAAATATTTTGGAATGTAAACATAAAGAACTAGCCCAAATTCTACAGTTATAAAGCTATAATTTTCTCTTTCTGATATTTCAAATAATCAAAACTTTCTGAGAGCACTTCAAATATGTATTTCTCCTTCATATTACCTTATGTAATAACTATAAGTTCTTGGCATGAGTTCAAAATAGCCAGTCTTGACACACATTTTAAAAATAAAGGACTATTAAAGGACTGTTGAAGCTTTCCACATTTTCTACTGTAAATCTGTGGACATGGAAACTGTCTTGGATTGTTAATGACTCAGATAACTATTCACTACTTTCTCCATGATGATATACTGTATTTTGTATCCCTTTCATATTAGATCCTTTCTGCTTTCCCTGGGTTTCAACTGGGCTTCAAAAGAACACAGAATAAAATGCTATAATGATACTGCAAACATCCTTCTAGTAAGTCTTTGTATGTTTGACAAGAAAACCATCACAGCCATCATTCCTACACTGAACCCTCTTTTTTTTAACCACGGTGAGGTAAGTGGTGAGATAGGTAAAGTGGTGAGCATACTGCAGGTTTTCATTTATTTTGTATATTTTATCCCATTTATCTTCATTATTTACTACACATATTTCTAGAATTTACTTTTTGATAGCAAAGTTTATAAAAGGACTCACACAAGAAGATAACTCTATAGATAATTTCTCAGAGATGAGTATTTTATACCTAAGAATTTTTAAGTATTTTTACTGATTATGCTATTATAGTTTTCCAATTTTTTCCTTTAACCCCCCTCCACCCTGCCCCACAGCCTTCCAGCATCCCCCCTCTTAGTTCATGTCCACGGGCTGTACATATAAGTTCTCTGAATCCTCTGTTTCCTACATTATTTTTATCTCTCTCCATCTATTTTATGCCTACTAATTATGCTTCTTCTGCCCTGTACCTTTTCCTCCCTTATTCCTCTCTTCCCCCTCCCCACTAAAATCCCTCCATGTGATGTCCATTTCTCTGATTCTGTTCCTATTCTGGTTTTTTGCTTAGTTTTTGTTTTCATTGTTTTTCTTTTCTTTTAGGTTTCTTTGTTGATAGTTGAGAGTTTGTTGTCATTTCACTGTTCATATTTTTTATCTTCTTTTTCTCAGATAAGTCCCTTTAATATTTCATGTAATAATGACTTGGTGATAATGAATTCCTTTAACTTGACCTTATCTGGGAAGCACTTTACCTGCCCTTCCATTTTAGATGAAAGCTTTGCTGTAGAGAGTAATCTTGGATGTAGGTCCTTGCCTTTCATGACTTCAAACACTTCTTTCCAGCCCCTTCTTGCCTGCACGGTTTCTTTTGAGAAATCAGCTGACAGTCTAATGGGAACAGCTCTGTAGGTAACTGTCTTGTTTTCTCTGGCTTCTTTTATGATTTTCTCTTTGTCTTTAATGTTGGGTAACTTAATGGTGATGTGTCTTTGGGTCACTCTCCGGGCTTCCTAGACTTCCTGGAAGTCTATTTCCTTTGCCAGATTGGGGAATGTTTCCTTTATTATATGTTTAAATATGTTTTCAATTTCTTGCTATTGTTGTTCTCCTTCTGGCACCTCTATAATTCAGATATTGGAATGTTTCAAGTTGTCCCAGAGGTTCTTAAGCCTCTCTTCATTTTTTTTGAATTCTTGTTTCTTACTTTTCTTCTGGATAGATGTTTATTTCTTCCTTTTGTTTCAAATCATTGTTTTTTTGCCCTAGTTTCTTTCCTGTCACTGTTTGTTCTCTGAGCATTTCACTTTATTTCACTTTGGGTAACCTTCATTTGTTTTTTTTTCATTTTTTGACCAAGCTCAGTCAGCTCTGTGAGCATTTTGATTATCAGGGCTTTAAATTCTCCAACAGACAGGCTGACAATCTCTTCACTGAGTTCTCTTTCTGAAGCTTTGCTGTGTTCTTTCATTTGGGCCATATTTCTTTGTCTTGGCACAGCTGATATATTATAAGAGGGCAGGGCCTCAGGTATTCACCTGGGCAGAGCAACCCTCTTTGCTGCACTGCAGTACTGCCTGAGGTGGAGAAGCCAGAGAGGAAACAATGCAGTTCACCTGCTCATTTCTGGCACACTTTTCAATGAATTTTCATGTTATTCTGGGCATATCTCTCACCGAGGTAACCCCAGCCATAGTCCACAGCCACCTCTAAGTCCCCTTAAGTCAGTCCCTCCCAGGCAGCCCACCTAACTCATCAGCCAGCTCTGCCCCCAAGGCTGTCCTGTTGCCGTGGTTTTTCTGAGTCAGCCTGCGCTGTCTGCCCCCTTACCAGTCTGGTTGTTCTGGTTGATTTTTTCTTTAATTACTTGGTTGTCAGAGTTCCATGCAGTTTGATTTTCTGGTGCTTTAGGTTGTTTATTGTAGATTGGTTGTTATTCTCCTTTTGGTTGTGCAAGGAAACGAAGGGCTTCCTGGACATCCTAGAATCTATTTCCTTTGCCAAATTGGGAAAGTTCTCCTTCATTATGTTTTCAATTTTTTGCTGTTGCTCTTCTCCTACTGACATCCCTATGATTTGGATGTTCAAATAGTTAAAGTTGTCCCAGAGGTTCCTAAGCTTCTCTAATGGGTTTGTCTGGTTTTTTTTGTTTTTGTTTGTTTTTTAAAAATTCTTGTTTCTTCATTCTGTTCTCATTGAATGATTATTTCTTCCTTCTGGCCCAAATTGTTGGTTTGAGTCCCGATTTCCTTCCCTTCAGTGTTGGTTCCCTGTATATTTCTCTTCATTTCACTTTGCATAGCCTTCACTTTTTCCTCCATTTTGTGATGAAACTCAACCATTTCTGTGAGCATCCTGATCACCAGCGCTTTGAACTGTGCATCTGATAGGTTAGCCATCTCTTTATCGCTTAGTTCTATTTTTGGAGCTTTGATCTGTTCTTTTATTTGGGTGATATTTTTTGTCTTGTTGTGCCTGTTACGTTGTTTAGTAGTGGATCCTTAGGTATTTGCTAGGACAGGGTCAACCCACTTGGCTACATTGTGGCATTGTATATTCGGCAGGGGTCTGAGAGAGAACAATGTTGCTTGCTCAGCTCTTGCCAGCTTTCAGTCACTTTCCCCTACTACCCACAAGCAAATTAGGCCCTTGTGGTGCTGGTCCCTCAGGTGTGTGGGTTTGTGTACATTCTAGGACCCTGTGGGTCTCTCCAGTGAACTCTCCTGTGAGGCTGGGAGTTTCTCTTGCCACTGCAGCTCCACAGGTTTTTAAAGTGAGAGGCTTTTTTTAAAGTCAGAGGTTTTTA